ATGTATATCAACTTTGAAAAACAAAGAAGAATTTTCTAATCCACTAGACAGCAAACCAAGTGTCATTTACAGTGATTGCTGGCAAGGCTGTCTGGTTGTTTCATGGCACAGGGAGGAGTTCTGAGGTGAGGAAAGAATGGTATCTGGAGTGTAAGGACCATCTCTGGCTAAGATTTCAGAAACCACACTAATGATTTATTCCTGTATATTTAAAATGAACTCCTTACTTGAGAGGTTAAAAGACAACTACCTCAGGCATTTTATAGCTTGAAAAACTATTTAGTCATTGTGAAATTTTCCCCAGTTGTAACGATGTATCAAGCATCTAGTTTGCTCAAAGCCTATTAACCAAGTGTTATTTATGTCAAATACAATAAAATACACCCATGAAAATCATGTGGAATCACAAATCATGGATAACAGAGAAGCAGTGACTAACCAAAATTTGGTGTGGTCTGCTTTATCTGTCACAGCTTCAGCCCCAGACAATTGGCTGAAATATTTTGCCTTTTTAAATGAATAAAATTCATAGTTTAGGAGGGTCTTCTAAACTGTCAAATTCAAAGACCAAATAAATAAACAAATAAATAAGTAAAAATCCAGTCAGTCATAAATTTGCTTCTGCCTGTTCTATTCCAATTGAATAACTTTAACCTGCAGAAACTGTTTCTAGAACCAACTCTCCTTACACATGGAAGGCATTTAGAGGTCCCGCGCCAAAACTGTGGGGAGAAATCATTTTTGTTATTGAAAAAGTTGTTTCTTCGCTGATTACAGCCAGGGTCATGAGCAGCTAGAGCAAGGATGTTGCAGGAAGGCAGCGTGGCGTGAGGTCTGGAAGAAATGCAGGGCAGCTGGCCTCACAGCTGTGCAAACTGTGTCATTCTATGGTTTGAGTGGTAGGTAGTGAACAGCCCTATACTTCTGCAGATCCACAGGGGATCTTTAAGTCTCCCCACCTCAGAAAGGAAGGGTTTGCCTTGAACCTTGGGTTGTGTTTTTGTAATGTCAAACCAAATAATTAGGGCATTCAGTTGGGGAAAGAGGGAGAGGATGAAGAAAAGGGGAGAGGTGATTGTAAAAGAAGGATGCCCCCTGGCTACTTGGCTGAGTGTCTGCCTTGGGCTAAGTTGGACTAGCAGCCTACATGGCAAATCACATGGTTCTAGAAGGAAATACAGTTGCTTCTACAGTTGCTTCATGCCAAGTGCCTTTTTGATGACTGTTATCAAGTGAAAAGATGAAGTGAGGTCAGGACCACACTAAGAAGTTAAAAGTGTCTGTGACTCAAAAAACGCTTGTAAAATTCAAGCACTGTGTCTCTTACTAATGGAACATAATATCCTGAGACCATATTTCATATAATGATGAGAGTTGACAGTGGAAGCATGGAAATGGCTTAAATGTACAAATTGTTAAATGCTGGAGTCAGTGTTTCTGGTCTATTAGGCTGTATTGTTTTTGGCCATGGCAAAGGCAACACTTTAAGGTAAATCAGTCTGTTTCACATTTTTATTTTAGTGCCTTAGTTTTGCCAGAGCTAGGCATCTAAAGCTGTCCCATTCACCCAGACCACATCTGTTTCTTGCCTTTGTAAGGCACTTGGCTGTTGGCAAAGCATTTTTACATTTGGTTTTCAAAGTAGCAATGAAAATTAGGCAGAAAGTGTTATCCACACGTTACAAGTTTCAGAGGTTCAGAGAAATGATTCAATTCACAAGTAGCAGACTTGGGTTTTGGAACCAGCAGGTCTCCAAACCCATCACAGAACGCTTGTGTCCATTATCCAGAGAAGAGAAGAGGCTCCACTGGACTTTAGAAAGCTAAGATTCTGTTTTTTGTTTGTTTGTTTTTTTGTTTGTTTGTTTTGAGATGGAGTTTCACTCTTGTTGCCCAGGCTGGAGTGCAATGGCACAATCTCAGCTCACTGCAACTTCTGCCTCCCGGATTCAAGCGATTCTCCTGCCTCAGCCTCTTGAGTAGCTGGGATTACAGATGTGCACCATCACGCCCAGCTAATTTTTGTACTTTTAGTAAAGACGGGGTTTCACCATGTTGGCCAGGCTGGTCTCTAACTGCTGACCTCAGGTGAATCCACCCACCTCGACCTCCCACAGTGCTGGGATTATAGGCATGAGTCACCAGGCCTGGCCTCTGTTGTTTTTGATGTGATCTTCTGATCAATATGTATGGCCTCCCAAACTGAAAGGCTGTGTTCTATTTCTCCTTCCCTTTCTCTTTGCCTCCCTCTTTTCTTCTCCCTGTATCTCTTTCTCTAGACTTCTTTTATTTCCCTTTCCAAACCCCACTTATAAGTTCAAAGGATTATTGGAATTTCCAGTAGGTGTTTCTCATTTCCACGTGGCCATGTGCAAGAGATATTTCAAGGTTGATTCATTCAACTTTACTCAGAGGATGACCTATTCTTAATGTAAATTTTCATAACTTTCAGAGTCGGGGGGTGACTGCCTTTCTCATTTGGGGCTACTCATATTCATTCTGTTGCCTAAGTAAGAAGGATTGAATAGGGGTAGCAGGAAAATTTTCTCCTTCTGGGAGTGTTTCTGAATTTGTAACTCATTTGGTCTGCCCTGAAGAGTAAGATGTGGTCATCAGAAAAGAATCATTTTTTAAATTTTTGGTAGAATCCCGGAGGAAGAGAACAAGCATGAAGCAGAAAGTGAAACAGAGGACCTCATTGTCCACTTTGTGCTAACAAACACTCACTATGTGTCAGGCGTTATTCTAAGTGCTTTACACCTATTTAATTATTTGCTCTTTAGAACAACTCTCTAAGATGATTACTATCATTAGTCCTATTTTACAAGTGAGAGAACTGAGGCAGGGAGAGGTTAAACGCGTTGCTCAAGGTCATACAGCCAGTAAGTGGCAGACTGAGGATCAGAACCCAGGAAGTCTGGCTCTATCCTCATAACCACTGTGCTACCTCAGAAAAGAGTGGTCATTGTCACTGCTCCTCTTTCGCTCTTTGCAGGGCCCATGATGACTTCCATGGCCCTAGGTCCTTTTGCCTTTGTGGGCCCCTTTCACTACATGAAGTATCAAAAACTCTATGTGGACTGTGTGGGTAACAAGACAAATATAATCCATGGGTTAGATTATATTCATTTTTTTTCCTTCTGACTGTAAAAGAAATTAAAACTTCTTTCTTGGCCCCTAAAAGTATCATCAGTGTGACCCCATGCCCACTGTGCCCAAGGGCTAGGTCGGTACTTACTCTTTGGGATTTTCCTTTTTCACCTTGACTCATGTCCAGGTAAGAGAATAAATTTACCACACTCTCAGCCATTCAGTACCAAAGTAGGATTTTTTTTTTTTGCAAATGCTTTTTCTGAGTTTAGAAGTAGCCCCAAGAAATCCACCAATTAAGTAAATGTTTTTCAAATTGTAGGTTGTAAAGTCATTTATGTAGGTCATAATTAGCATTTTTATAATAAAAATATATTAGAGTGGAGTGGAGTGGAGTGGCAAGGGATGGGATAGGATAACATAGAAACATCAGAGTAATTTGCACCTTAAGGGTATTTTGGAGAATATTTTATTTCAATTATAATAAATATGTATGTGTGTTATGTGGGGCACCATAAAGTGCATTTCTCACAGTGAGTCCCAGCCATTTTTTCTTTCTTTTTTTTTTTTGAGATGGAGTCTTACTTCTTCACCCAGGCTGGAGTGCAATGGCACGATCTTGGCTCACTGCAACCTCTGCCTCCCAGGTTCAAGCGATTCTCCTGCCTCAGCCTCCCCAGTAGCTGGGATTACAAGCACGTGCTACCACACCTGGATAATTTTTTTGTATTTTTAGTAAAGACAGGGTTTCACCATGTTAGCCAGGCTGGTCTCGAACTCCTGACCTCAAGTGATCCGCCCACCTCGGCCTCCCAAAATGCAGGGATCACAGGTGTGAGCCACTGCGCCCGGATCCAGTATTTTTTTTTTTTTTTAATACTAGGGTAGGATACAGTCCTAGTTCCAACTCTTCTTTCCTTTAGCAATGTCAAGCTTTAAATGTGACCCCATATATAGAAAAGCTGGTAATATAAGCTTGCTGTCTTGTGGTAAATCATGACTGTTAAGTATACAGGTTTTGAAGTCATATGAAACAGAATCCAAATTCCAGTTCTTTCTCTTATTAGCTGTAGTACTTTCACTACATCACCTAACTTTTCTTTGATTTATTTCCACATGGATAAAATTAGGATGATAATAATAATAATGCCATTCTCATGGGGTCATTGTGAGAAGTAAATGAGAAAATGCTTATAATGTCAACTTAAATATTTATTTCTGGGTTTTGTTTTGTTTTGTTTTTTAGAGAGTCTCGTTCTTTCACCCAGGCTGGAGTGCAATGGCATGGTCTCTGTTCACCGCAACCTCTGCCTCCTGAGTTCACGCAATTCTTCTGCCTCAGCCTCCTGAGTGGTTGTGACTACAGGTGCGTGCCACCACACCAGCTAACTTTTGGATTTTTAGTAGAGAACGAGTTTCACCATGTTGGTCAGGCTGGTCTCAAACTCCTGACCTTGCGATCTGCCTGCCTCAGCCTCCCAAAGTGCTTGGATTACAGGTGTGAGCCTGTCCAGACCTCATTTTTAACCTGAGACTTGCATAACTGCTTTTAAATTTTTTTTTTTTTTTTGGGACAGAGTTTCACTCTGTCTCCCAGGCTGGAGTGCAGGGGCTTAACCTCAGCTCACTGCAACCTCCGCCTCTCAGGTTCAAGCAATTATCCTGCCTCAGCCTCCAGAGGAGCTAGGACTACAGGTACACGTCACCACATCTGAATGATTTTTTGTATTTTAGTAGAGACAGGGTTTCACCATGTTGGCCAGGCTGGTCTCAAACTCCTGACCTCAGGTGATTCGCCTGCCTCGGCCTCCCAAAGTGCTAGAATTAGAGGTGTGAGTCACCGCACCTGGCCATAACTGCTTTTTAAATGTAGCCACTTGGATGTCTGATAGAGGTCTTACACTTGACACGTCTGTCTCTGAGCTCCTGACCAATCCTCCGCTCCCTCAAATGATCCTTCCATCCTTCCTATTGCTCAGGTGAAAACTGTGAACTACTGCTTGCTCTTCTTCTCTCACAACCTACATTCAATCCATCATGAATGCGTACTGGCTATATCTTCAAATACACAAGGACTCTTACCACTTTTCACTGCTTCTGCTGTACCACGCTGATGAGCCACCATCGTTTCTCTGGCTTTCCATTGTAACCTCCAAACTGGCTTCTCTGCTTCTTTGGTGCCCCTCTCTAGCCTGTTCTGAACTCAACAGCCCCAGTGATCCTTTAAAAAACCTATCAGACGGTGTTACTCCTATGCGCAAATCCCTGCAGTGCTCTACACTTCACTGAGAGTAAAGTCAAAGTCTTTGCAAGGTAGACCAAATTTTGTCTGGTCTCCATTCCTTCTTAATCCCCCTCTTCATCTCTCTTCCTTACTCCTCTCCAGCCACACTGGTCTCCTTGCCATGCCAGGAACACTCTGGTTTAGGTCCTTTCCACTTGCTCGTCCTCAGCTCTCTCCTCACTCTGCTCCCCACCCCATATTGGTATTGTTCATTCTTTTACCCGCACTGAAGAACTGTGTTCAAATCCCTTCTGCTCATGTGGCCTGTCTCGAAATCCTCTCCTCTTCCTGCTCCCATATGCTGTATCCTCTTAGCCTGCCTTATTCATTTTTGTCTTAACACATTGACTTATAACATACAATACAATTTACTGATATATTCTAATGTTTCTTGCTCATAATCCACTTTTGGTAGTAAAAATTCATGAAAATAAGATGCTATTTGTTTTGATCACTGATGTATCCCAAGTGTCTAAAAAAATGGTCTAAAAAAGGGCCCAGGTGGAATAAGAGAGAAATTCATGAATAATACAGGTTTTTCTGTACCTTTGATTAAACCATGATTTAATATTCAACCACCTAGTGGTTTGGTTGATAGAGATCTGGCAATAGTGGCCTTTCTGTGTCTATAAATGGCAAATGAACATATTGATAAAGTTCAGAATTATCTCAAAACAAGATGGATATTAAAGTCTCATCTACAGCTATAGCCCAGGTATTTGCTATCAAAGATTCTGCTGCTGAATTGCTAGTTTAATGTATACAAAGGTGGCAAAAAGGATCAATAGAAAGCCTACAGGCTTTTACACCACACTTACATTCACGAATGTTAAACAACTACTAGTGTGATATTATTCCTGTTGTCCTTCAGTAACTGTGTAGAAAGTCATGCTAATCTGTCGTCATTCAACAAGGCCATAAAATTGATTTTGTCTTTTATTTTAACTACCCTTCATTATATAGGAGACTTGTAAATTAAAGCAATTAAAATGTCAACATTGCCCACTCCCCACCCTGAAATCACATCCGCTTTAGCACCTACCAAAGTGGGTAAGGAAAGTGAGGAACAAAACATGAAATACTAGAGTGTCTCTTGTACCATACAATGAAGAAAATGTTATCTCAACTGTTCTTTCAGGCCCTTTTGTTTACATAACACAAGACATTGGCTGTAATGTTCTCCCATTTTTCACCCCATGAACTCAAGGAGAAAAAAAGCTCTACAAATTGTCTTCTGTTCCCACCTGAATTTTAATTCTTGTACTCTAAATAACGATCATGAATTCAAGTTGCATATGTCAAAAAGTGACTCCATAAATAACTTGCCATTTCTTTTTTGCTTTAGTGTTAGAATCTATGTATGAAAACGTTAATGTGCCTCTGCTGCATTTATTATGACCGGTAGGTGATGAACCTGTCAGTTATATGCCCGTGAAGAAAAAGGGAAATAAGTTTCTTTGTAGTTCATGGCTAGGTCGGTGCTTAAAGGTTAGGATCCTTCTTTCTGTGAATTCCAAAGATACTTTGCTGCTTTGTAGGATTCTGCCATTTAGCTGGTCTGCCTACATGTTTACCTTCCCTGGTAATCTAAAAGGGTAAAGGAGAAGTATAGCTCTTACACACCTGTTTAATTTTAGTTATAAAGGAGAACAGGTTAAAAGACTTGAAATGCCAATTAGGAGCCGAATTAGTATTTAGTTTCCTCACTCTCCATTTATTGCTAAAATTTCTTTAATACCTTATTCTATTACACAACAAATATCTAGAGGTCATCAACTGTATTAAGGCTCTAATCTCTGAATATTCAAATTAAAAATATTTAAACTAATATTTTGTATATAAATGTGCCTATATAATATTCATTCTTCTTTTAACTCAAAAATTTCCATAACTTTGCTGTGATCAAATATTTTCATTCTTATGGTAATGAGGCTATTTTATATGTTTTATACAACAAATAAGACTATTTATAAAATCAGGTATAGTATGTATCCAGTAATACAGCCAGAGTTAGAAGTATCATTTATTTTTAGATTGAATGGGACTTCAGAGACTTTATATCTAAAACCCTTATCTTAGAGCTGAGTGAATCAAACCCCAAAAGGTTAAATGACTTGCCCATGGTCTTAGGAGAGTGATGCATTAGAATCAAATTCTTCTGACTCTTGCCTCACATATTTCCTATAAAACACGCCTCTGTGGGATTTTATAGAATTAAATTATACAGGCATATATAGACAAACCAAAAAAGTAATTTACCATGTAGCCATAAGATAATTGTAAATACCATACTTACGTGTTTAAAAACAACAATAATACTCTGACCAAAGATTCTAAGAAAATGTAATTGCCCAACATAGATTCTGTGTTTGATTTGTTTCATAAATTAAATATTTATGGGAAAGGGCCTCCCATTTATTCATAGTGTTAATTACAGCCATCCCTTGGTATCCGTGAGATTGGTTCCAAGATCCCCTGCGAATAACAAAATCCATAGATACTCAAATCCCTTACATAAAATGGTGTAGTATTTGCATATAACCTATGCACATCCTCCTGTATACTTTAAATTATCTCTAGATTACTTACAATACCTAATACAGTGTAAATGTTATATAAATAGCTGTTACACTGTATCATTTAGGAAATAATGAAATAACTCTTTACATGCTCAGTACAGATGCAGCTATTCATTTTTAAAAAATATATCCCATCCCTGGTTGGTTGAATCCACAGATGTGGAACCCATGAATGCTGAAGGCCCACTGTACTTACTTTCTTGTACCTTTTAAATATTCATTACACTATCTGGGGTGATCTTCACTGGTACCATCTTAATGCATGACATAATGAGATTGTCAGGTTAGCTAGCTTTAACTATATATAGCACAGAAGGAGGGAAGACTTCCACACTAGAGGCTCCTGGTGAGCTGTGAGATCCATCATTAGAATTCTGCCTACCAAATACAGGAAGCAATAATTAAAAGAAGAGTTTGGGCCACCAAATAAAAGCCAGACCCACATGGTCCGCCTTCAATTTACAATCAGTAACAAAAAATATAGTGAGGAACACATTGGCATTCTTCAGTAAAAGAGTGAGTGAAGGAGGATGCCTATCAAAACCTTTAGGTTGGTGAAGCAATCTCAGATCAGCATGGCAATAATATTTACAATTTGCCTAGAAGCAGTTCTCATTGCTAAGTGATGATGGCACGTTCTGAGCTGTCACTTCTCAATATCATGGACCTCCATTATTTAGCTAAGCGATAAGGCTGGAAGAGAGGTACCCTGGGACCTAGTTTATAACTTCTTTTGGTAGACCCATTCATCCTTATAGGAAACCAGAGCAAGCCAGTTCTGACTGCCATTATCCTCTGGGCCTGAAAGGGTAAAAGAGACCAGCGAAGGCCAGAAACAGCTATCCTTCGTGAACATCCAGAACCAAAACAGATCTCAGTTTTCCAAAGAGAATAATTATGCTGGTGTTGACCATACTGTTAATTTAAAATCTCCCCCATACAAAGCAATTCTGATATATCAACAGAAGTTAAACCTCCTTATGATTAGAAAAGGACACATTTTTCTCAATAGTGTCTAATACTGGTTTTGTGTTTTAAACTATTCTAAATCATCAGGATGACTTGCTTTCCTTCTGTTGACATCCATTTAAGAAATATAAGAAGTGCTTAATTTTTCTACTTACTATAACACTTTCATTCACTTTAGCGTGTAATTATAGAGTTTTTCAGTTTCAGCAACTTCTATATATCAGTTAAACCTCCATATACTGTCAACATAAAGATAAATAGAATACACTACCCTCATGGGAAAGTACTTGCCAGATGAGCTGCAACTCTTCATTGCACTGACTGCAATGCAGTGAATGAATGACTTCATAAGGCAGGCTACACTCTTACAAGATAAATGTCAGTGTTGTTCATTCTAAGTGAGAATACAATTAGAAACACTTGCTACTAATAGTGCGAACAGACTCTTCTGTTCCAGGATGTCCTTTTAACACATTTGAATTCCTTAGGGGAAAAAATCCCTTTTTGAATGTTTTAATCTTTGATGTGTCTGGGTAACCTTCAACAGATATATTGACTTAATTTCTTTTGCATTCATACCATCTTCAAACAATCATCTATCCATGTCTGTGTCTACTAAATGCTGAACAGAACCTAAAAACCTAGAAAAGGGACTCTTAGAAAAATAAGTCATGGTTCAGAAAGTTTCTGTTCTCTATGCTCTCAATTTTAGCTGAAACTTGAAATTAACATCTTCATACATTGATGAAAGACCCACATTTTGGTGCTATTCTTTGACTGACTTGCCACTGTAGGTGAAGAAGTATATCCTTCACTCAAGCTGTGGTATTATTTCTGAAATGATATTATTAAGTACTGTTGGAGATAGGGTGTAGCTGAAAAATGCTTAAGTGCTTAGTTAGTATTCAAAATACCCAGTCCACTTTATTTGGCAACTGGACAGATTAGTTTAATGATTTCATGATAGCCAAGTAAAATGAATGTATGTATATGTATTTCCTTGAAGCATTGCTAAACCTCTAAAATATCAAACATGGGTTTATGTATTATTAGTGGCGTGGGAAAGCAAATATTAAACATAAATAGTTTAA